GGATGCTGAGAGTTTGGGGCTTTCTGTGCTGAAAGGAACAGACCCCCAGGAGAACCCTGCACTGACCTGAGGCTGTGGAGAAGCTTCCAGAATGGAATGACAGAGCTGGGATTGTGGGTGTGGGGTTTGGATAGAAGTGTGTGATATCACAGGGTGGGAAACCCAGAGTTTAAAGGTTTAGAATACAGAAGTATATACAAAGCAAGATGGAGGTTTGAGTGTGGAGGCTGCTCCTTCTTCTTCACTATCTCTGTGGGTTGGGGTGGTTTTGTGTAATTGGATAAAAAAGTCCCCATTGCAGCCATGGGTGGTTGGTTATTGGGTTAAAAGTGAAAATAATTGAGGTGTCATTTCTTAATTGGACAGTTTATCCTTAAAAGGCCTTGTAGAGAGAGCTGAGGCTCCATTTTTAGTTTGTTAGAGTGAAGTGCTGCAGAACTCAGGGTCTGTGGGACTGTGACAGAGATAAGAACTGATAAACATTGAGCCTGAACCTCACCCATCATCTCGAGTGCCTTCAGTGCTGACCTTGACAGAGGTGGGAAAAAGAATCCAAACGCAGCCCCTGAGCAGAGCTGGGCCCGGGGAATCCAGCTGGGACGAAGGGCTGGGATCCCGATCCCAACCCTGGGAATGTTCCCCACATTCTGTGCATCCCTCCTGAGCGCTCTGAGCGTTCCTATGTAACCCTGGCTGCTTCCTGTTTTTCAGGAGATGACTTCTCCCTGATCCAGCAGGAGATATATATGGTTAAGGAATGCAAACATTGCAACATAGTCGCCTATTTTGGGAGTTATCTCAGGTAAATCCCAGGTTTTATTTCAATATTCCTCAATATTATTTTATTTCAATGTTTCAATATTCAATATTAGGTTCTCTCCTAAAACAATCCCACTCTGCTTTAGTCCTGTATCCTCATTAAATCTTTCTCCAGAGGTTGAATTGCCCTTGGTTTTTTGTTGTTTTTTTTTTTAAAGCCAACCCAATTGGCTTTAAAAACCATAAGTGACTAATATTTTGTTTTCTCTGCTGGCCAAAAGGCTGGAATATTTTTATCACTAGGAACAGAAAGAAACATTTCCCTTGGAGACTCTTGCAACATATCCAGTCCTACTCACACATTTATCAGTTCTAATATAAGAGCAGCTCATTATTTCTGTAGAGCAGAATTGCCTTTGGATATTTTATTTAATTATAGTTGTCTGGGCTATGAAACCATGGCTGGGGAGTTAAAAATCTGAGCTGCTGGAAATAACATTTCTCACAGTTGTGGTGTAACAGAGGCAGAACCAGGGTGGTGTCAGCTCCCTGCACCTTTCATTAAATATTATACAGGAAAATATTAAATATTGTACAATAAATTCTATAAATTTATATTTCTACATTAAATATCATACAGGAAATCAGGGAATAGTCTCCATTTCTGTGCAACTCTGCCATTTATCAATTGGCTCTGTGGGAATGTAAATCTGCACTTTGCCTGCTTGGTCTTTTTTCTGTGAGACTTCATCTTTTTCTTGGAGGGCTGCATTTAAATAATCCCTGCAGCCCAAATGGACTCAGTTGGAACTAAATTTCTAATTTCTAATTCTGAATTTAGAAGAGTTTTTTAGGTATAATGAAGTAATTTCAATTTAAGATTGAAACCCTGAGTTTAGTGTGATATTTTATGTAATTTTGCTGATAAATCTCAGGTGTTTTATTGTAGAGTTAAAGCACCACCTTTTATGTTTAATAATGTTTAAATATTTCTCAGAGACTTTGGCGTAAAACTTATGTTTTGATTGGTGAAAATTATATTTTTTATATTTTACATCAATATTTTTATATTGATAACATGAGAATTTATATTCATAACAGGAGAATTTTGATTAATAACAGTGTAACTGCTGCTCATGTATCAGAATGTGTGTTTTTAACAGAGAGTGGTAAAGAATAATAGAAAATAATTTAAATTATGAAGTTCTGCATGCAGATCAGTCAGCTTCTGATGCCTGTGTTGGAATTTTGCTTTGCAGCCGTGAGAAGCTGTGGATATGCATGGAATACTGTGGTGGGGGCTCCCTCCAGGACATCTACCACGGTACTTGCCCAATTATTTTGAATTTTTTCACTTTGGGAAGCTTTCTGCAAAAAGAGAAATAAATAATAAACTTACAGGGAACAGTTGGCACTGGAAGTGGGGGTTTTTTGGGGGGCAGAAAGTGGTTTTTGGCTACAGTCAGTAGATTTTGAGAGCACTTTCCAGATATGGTGAGCAGCACTTTTCATATTTTTAATATTGACATAATATTTGACATTTAATATTTGACATTTAGTATTTGACATTTAATGGCAGAACAGTTGGATATGGACGCTGTGCATGGGGTGAGGAAGGAGTTTTCATTGGGAAATCTCCAAATTTGATCTTTAAAGGGGAAAAATGACTTTTATTCCTCCCCCAGTGAAATACCATCTCACTTCTGTATTATTTTCCTTCCTGAAGTTTCATCTGGAGTTGTTGATGCTGTAGAATAATTTATTGGAGTTGTTGGAAAAACAGTTGGGGACTTGCTGTGCCTTTAAATGATAACACTGAGTTTTGGGATGCCTGAGCTCTTTCTGCTTTATTTTTCAGCTGTTTAGTACAAAAAAAAACCCAATTAAAAACAATTTTAAAAGAATTAAAACAATTTAAAACAATTCCAAGTCTCTGATATGAAACATTCCAATTTCTAATATTAAAATATTAGCAGGTGTCACTTTTAGTTTCCTGATAACAGCAGAGTGCTACAAAATCACTCATAAAATAATCATTAGATGCAGTGAAAGCAGGTTTTCTTCTCACTGTGGGTATTGTTTTCTGTTTGGGGTTTTTTTTTACAGAAAGCCTTTCTGTAAAACAAGCAAACAAACCCCTCTTTTCAGCTCAGTGCACAATGCAGATCATGGAAAACCAGCCTTTAACTTTGGCATGGCCAAACCACTCTTTGGCCGCTTCGCAGTGTTATTGATGTGTTCTATGTGTAAAGTTAATTTTTGAATCTTTATTTCCAGTAACAGGACCTCTGTCAGAGCTGCAAATTGCTTATGTGTGCAGGGAAACTCTGCAGGTACTGTACTTGTGCAGGTGCACAATAAAGTGTTTATTCCTTAAATAAAGCAGGTGCAGAAAATTGGTGAAATTTCTGTTGGGAATCAAGCAGACACCAATTAACCAGGGGTAACCTGTTCTTTTTCCATAATATAAATAAATAAAAATTACCAAGAAATTCTAGTGGGATATACTGCAAATATTTGCTTAAATTTTGAACCGCCTGTCTAACCCAAATTTAATGATGTGGGGGGGTAAAATAGAGCAGCCAGATAAATAAAATTCTCTTTCATTCCTTTGCTGATAGCAAAGAAATACAAGATGAAGCATCCCTTATCTGCAAATCTCAAATGTCTCCATTTCCAAATCAAACAGATTGAGAAAATTAAATTTTTTAAACAGAACTGCCTTTGTGGGATGTTAACAAATGGCAGAATAATTCATTGTGTTTTTCATTTCCAGGGTCTTGCTTATTTACACATGAAGGGCAAAATGCACAGAGATATAAAGGTAACTTGGAACCCTGAGAAATTTATCTTACAGCTCCAAATGCAGGGAAAATATTCCTGATAAAGATTCTGAATTTATTTTTTTTAGGGTGCAAACATTCTCCTAACAGACCACGGAGATGTAAAATTGGGTGAGTTGCCTGAGTTCTGTGATATGGATTTGATTTAATGTCATTTATGGAGGTGGCACCTTGGGACATGGGCAGTGCTGGGGAAGGGCTGGGCTCCATCATTTAAAGGTTTTTTCCAAAATAAATGATTCCATGATTATTTGGGGCAATAGATGGTGCTGGAAGGAGCACCAGGGAGATGAGAAATTCTGTATTTTATCAATAAATTGTAGATAATTTAATTATTCAACCACTGAGCCTTTAAAATCCCAGATTTTCCTGGAATTTGCCAGGCTGGCATTGCCTGCATGTCACCTTTTATCCCTCAGAGCCTTTCAGGATCCCCTGTTCGGGGCAGCCTCTGCAAAAGTGGGGTCTGCTGCTGGCTCTGAGTGTGGTGTTGGGCAGTTCCACAGAGGTGGAGAGGGAAACTCCTGGGTCTGCAGGGAGAAGCTACCATGGATGCCACCATCCCATGGGTGTCACCATCCCAGGGTGTCACCATGCCATGGATGTCACCATCCCATGGATGCCACCATCCTTGCCATGGATGTCACCATCCCATGGGTGTCACCATCCCATCGGTGTCACCATCCCATGGATCCCACCATCCCATGGGTGTCACCATCCCATGGATGCCACCATTGCTACCATGAGTGTCACCATCCCATGGATGTCACTATCCCTACCATGGGTGTCACCATCCTATGCATGTCACCATCCCATAGATGCCACCATCCCATGGATACCACCATCCCTACCATGGATGCCACCATCCTATGCATGCCACCATCCCGTGGATGCCACCATCCCATGGGTGTCACCATCCCATTAGTGTCACGATCCCATGGGTGTCACCATCCCTACCATGGATGCCACCATCCTTGCCATGGGTGTCACCATCCCATAGATGCCACCATCCCATGGATGTCACCATCCCATGGGTGTCACCATCCCTACCATGAGATGTCACCATCCCGTGGATGCCACCATCCCTACCATGGGGTGTCACCATGCTATAGATGCCACCATGCCATGGATGTCATCATCCCATAGATGTCATCATCCCATGGATGCCACCATCCCATGGATGCCACCATCCCATGGGTGTCACCATCCCATGGGTGTCACCATCACATGGATGCCACCATCCTATGGATGCCACCATCCCATAGATGCCACCATCCCATAGATGCCACCATGCCATGGATGCCACCATCCCATGGATGTCACCATCCCATAGATGCCACCATCCCATAGATGCCACCATCCCATGGATGTCACCATCCCATAGATGCCACCATCGCTACCATGAGTGTCACCATCCCATAGATGCCACCATNGGGTGTCACCATCCCATGGGTGTCACCATCCCATGGATGTCACCATCCCATAGATGTCATCATCCCTACCATGGGGTGTCACCATCCCATGGGTGTCACCATCCCATGGATGTCACCATCCCATAGATGTCATCATCCCATGGATGCCACCATCCCATGGGTGTCACCATTCCTACCATGGGGTGTCACCATGCTATGGATGCCAGTATGCCATGGATGTCACCATCCCATACATGTGATCATCCTATGGCTGTCACCATCCCTACCATGGATGCCACCATTCCATGGATGCCACCATCCTTGCCATGGATGTCACCATGCCATGGATCCCACCATGCCATGGATGCCACCATCCCTACCATGAGATGTCACCATCCCATGGATGCCACCATCCCATGGATGCCACCATCCCAGGGTGTCACCATGCCATGGATGTCACCATCCCATGAATGTCACCATGCCATGGATACCACCATCCCTACCATGGATGCCACCATCCCATCGGTGTCACCATCCCATGGGTGTCACCATCCCATGGGTGTCACCATCCCTACCATGGGGTGTCACCATGATGTGGATGCCACCATGCCATGGATACCACCATCCCTACCATGGATGCCACCATCCCATCGGTGTCACCATCCCTACCATGGGGTGTCACCATGATGTGGATGCCACCATCCCATAGATGTCACCATCCCATAGATGCCACCATCCCATGGATGTCACCATCCCATGGATGCCACCACCATCCCATGGATATCACCATGCCATGGATGCCACCATGCCATGGATGTCACCATCCCATGGATGCCACCATGCCATGGATGCCACCATCCCACAGGTGTCACCATCCCATGGATGCCACCATCCCATCGGTGTCACCATCCCTGCCATGGAGTGTCCCCATCCCATGGGTGTCCCCATCCCATGGGTGTCACCATCCCATGAATGTCATCATCCCATAGATGTCACCATCCCATAGATGCCACCATCCCATGGATGCCACCATCCTTGCCATGGGTGTCACCATCCCATGGGTGCCACCATCCCATGGATGTCACCATCCCATAGATTCCACCATCCCATGGATGTCACCATCCCATGGATGCCACCACCATCCCATGGATGTTACCATCCTTGCCATGGATGCCACCATCCCATGGATGCCACCATCCCACAGGTGTCACCATGCCATGGATGCCACCATCCCATGGATGTTACCATCCTTGCCATGGATGTCATCATCCCATGGATGCCACCATCCCACGGGTGTCACCATCCCATGGATGTCACCATCCCATGGGTGTCACGATCCCATAGATGCCACCATCCTATGGATGTCCCCATCCCTACCATGGGGTGTCACNTGCTATGGATGCCACCATCCCATGAATGTCACCATCCCATGGATACCACCATCCCTACCATGGATGCCACCATCCCATGGATGTCACCATCCCATCGGTGTCACCATCCCTACCATGGGTGTCACCATCCCATGGATGCCACTACCATCCCATGGATGTCACCATCCTTGCCATGGATGCCACCATCCCATGGGTGCCACCATCCCATGGATGTCACCATCCCATAGATGTCACCATCCCATGGATGTCACCATCCCATAGATGTCACCATCCCATGGATGCCACCATCCCATGGATGCCACCATCCTTGCCATGGATGTCACCATCCCATGGATGCCACCATCCCATGGATGCCACCATCCCACGGGTGTCACCATGCCATGGATGTCACCATCCCATCGGTGTCACCATCCCTACCATGGGTGTCACCATCCCATGGATGCCACCATCCCATGAATGTCACCATCCCATGGATGCCACCATCCTATGGGTGCCACCATCCCATGGGTGCCACCATCCCATAGATGCCACCATCCCATGGGTGTCACCATGCTATGGATGCCACCATCCCATGGATGTCACCATCCCGTGGATGTCACCATCCTTGCCATGGGATGCCACCATCCCATGGATGCCACCATCCCATGGATGCCACCATCCCATAGATGCCACCATCCCATGGATGTCACCATCCCATGGATGCCACCACCATCCCATGGATGTTACCATCCTTGCCATGGATGCCACCATCCCATGGGTGCCACCATCCCATAGATGTCATCATCCCATGGATGTCACCATCCCATGGATGCCACCATCCCTACCATGGGGTGTCACCATGCTATAGATGCCACCATGCCATGGATGTCATCATCCCATGGATGTCATCATCCCATGGATGCCACCATCCTTGCCATGGATGTCACCATCCCATGGATGTCACCATCCCATGGGTGTCACCATCCCATGGGTGTCACCATCCCATGGATGTCACCATCCCATGGATGCTACCATCCCTACCATGAGATGCCACCATCCCATAGATGCCACCATCCCCATGGGTGTCACCATCCCTACCATGGATGCCACCATCCCATGGATGTCACCATGCCATGGATGTCACCATCCCAGGTGTCACCATCCCATAGATGTCACCATCCCATGGATGTCACCATCCCATAGATGCCACCATCCCATGGATGCCACCATCCCATGGATGCCACCATCCCATGGATGTCACCATCCCATAGATGCCACCATCCCATGGATGCCACCATCCCATGGGTGTCACCATCCCATGGATGCCACCATCCCATGGATGCCACCATCCCATGGGTGTCACCATCCCATGGATGTCACCATCCCATGGATGCCACCATCCCATGGATGCCACCATCCCACGGTTGTCACGATCCCATAGATGCCACCATCCTATGGATGTCCCCATCCCTACCATGGGGTGTCACCATGNCACCATCCCATAGATGCCACCATCCCATGGATGTCACCATCCCATAGATGCCACCATCGCTACCATGAGTGTCACCATCCCATAGATGCCACCATCCCATGGATGTCACCATCCCATGGATGTCACCATCCTTGCCATGAATGTCACCATCCCATGGGTGTCACCATGCCATGGATGCCACCATCCCTACCATGGGGTGTCACCATGCCATGGATGCCAGCATCCCATGGATGCCACCATCCCATGGGTGTCACCATTCCATGGATGTCACCATCCCATAGATGTCACCATCCCATGGATGCCACCATCCCTGCCATGGGTGTCACCATCCCATAGATGTCACCATCCCATGGATGCCACCATCCCTACCATAGATGTCACCATCCCATGGATGCCACCATCCCATGAATGTCACCATCCCATGGGTGTCACCATCCCATGGATGCCACCATCCCATCGGTGTCACCATCCCTACCATGGATGCCACCATTCCATGGATGCCACCATCCCATGGATGCCACCATCCCTACCATGGGTGTCACCATCCCATGGATGCCACCATCCTATGGATGTCCCCATCCCTACCATGGGGTGTCACCATGCTATGGATGCCAGCATCCCATGGGTGTCACCATGCTATGGATGCCACCATCCCATGAATGTCACCATCCCATGGAT